TGACATTTTCACACCATTTTGACAACGTCTCTACGAACAAAAGGACGTCTGGGCTTATTTTTAAAGCTTTGCATTCTCGGACAATGACATTCGAAGTGTGAAATACTGACCGGGATTGACTATACGGCACACATCCTGCTTGACAACTTTGTAATATGAAAACAAAACATACTATATATACGCCTGGACGCCCCTTTGTTAATAAACAACTGATAAACGTTGTGTGAAAGTTTCACTCAAAATAAACAAGAATTGTGCGAGCTATTTAGATTTGAATTTTCATGGTAAACTGAAAAACACAAGTGGAGATAATGGCTAATTTGCATAACCATTCACTCAGTAAGAAGTTTGCTAAAATCGTCTTTTGAGTATGTTCCACTATTCATAATGCTGAAAAATTTTTACAGTCTATAGCCAAGACTGTTTGGATAATAAAAAGCAAAAAAAAAGAAAATTCACTCCCAAGTGCCCACGAACCTGCATCTATACCTTAACATCTTACATGAACATTTTGACTATTAACATCTCACATGAACATTTTGACTGTTAACATTTCACATGAACATTTTGACTATTAACATCTCACATGAACATTTTGACTGTTATCATCTTACATGAACATTTTGACTGTTAACATCTCACATGAACATTTTGACTATTAACATCACACATAAACATCTTACATGTGATGATTTAGATCATGTAACATATTAGCAGTATAGTACAAGGGTTAACTTAATACTTTGATAAGAAACAAAATAATAATTATTTTTTAACAACTAGAAATCATCAGCAGGGTAAAGGCAGGGCTAGATCCTCCATATCGTCCAAACGTCAGTGATGTAAACGAAGTTGCACCTGAGTGTGTCTTGTTAACAATGAGGTCTTGTTGGAGTGAGGATCCACTGGATAGACCAGAGTTCCTGAAGTGCAGAGAAATGTTGAAGCCAATGCAGGAGGGCCTGTGAGTCTTATATTGTGATTACATGTGTATCATGTAATAATATTTGGAAGCCAATAGTTAGTTCTACAATAATGTACTACACACGTCAGTCATGAAACAAACATTGTCACCAGTCTACAATATGAGGTATGGTAAACCAAACATACATGTAAAAGAACCAATTATACTGACAAAATGGCCAATATTCACTAAAATACAACAATTATTTTTTTCAAAAAATAGGCTGGTGACCCCAAACTTTTTTTGAATTGCATATCCTTATATTGACTGGAAGTACAATATTTATTGCAAAACGGATAAATTCTGGGAATTTTCATTCATGAGTAGTCATTCTACCTAAATCTGTGATCATATTTATCTATTCCAGGAAGTCCAATATTCTGGATAACATGATAGCATTGATGGAAAGGTACACCAATAACTTGGAAGAGTTGGTTGAAGAGAAAACTGAAGATCTGAAGAAAGAAAAGAAGAAAATTGAAGGCCTGTTACATCGCATGATACCGCCGTAAATATTATTATTATTTATCTTTATGTCAGACTGTCAATCATTTGAAAGTCCATATAAAACTAGTATGAAAAATATATAAATAAATGAACAAAATATATATATATATATCTATCATTAAGTTTGGATACTGGAAAGCAACTTCCATGTTAAAATATGAAATTTTGCATAATTAAGTCACTGTGACCCACTATCTTAAAATCTCCAATGAAAAGTTTCCGTACTACAATATTTTACAATATACATTCTCTGGTTCGTGACAAACATGAACAACTAGTCTCCTGCCAGATTGAAACTTAGTAGTTTTTAACATTGAACAGTTTATTATAATCTGCATGTTTTCTATATTATACAAACATCTATTTAAAAAAAAATGTTAGTAGTAATAGAGTTGAGTTTAAAGCTGACAAAAGCCAAGTATCATAAGTGCATATGGTGCAAAATAACTCAGTTTATTACAGTATATGTTTATATTATGCATAAATTACCGTAGGTAAACTTTGATTAACTATCGAGTAAAGTTTCTAAAACTCTATAATATTGCTTTTATTTCATTTTAGATCTATAGCTGGAGACTTGATGAAAGGGATTCCCGTTCAACCTGAAATCTACGACTCTGTGACTATGTTCTTCTCTGATATTGTTGGTTTCACTGCACTCTCAGCTGCCAGCACTCCAATTCAGGTGAAACCATACAACATATACACCATTTTTATGACATATTTGCAATATATTTAATTAAATTTGTGCATTAAATTAATTATTTTTTAAATCTCTACAACAATTAGACTGTATGGTTACAATACTATACATTGTAAATGTTCAAGATTCAGCCTGTATATGTACTACTAGGCCATTTCGAGCTGACTTTTTGGGGTCAATTTGTATTATCTCTGGTGGTGGAAAGTAGTATTTGTTTGTCTTTGTGGATAATAATAAACTGAGTGATTCATATTGAATATAAATATTCAGCTTTCTATATGTATAGTTAAAATAATATATGTGCTTTGTGTTGTCTGAGATACAATACTCATTTCGCCCAATGTTCCGCTTTTATCTGTTTTTAAACGGCCGCTTATCGCCTAATTTCCTACCGTGCCGTCTTGTCCTACCGGGAACCAACCGCAATTTAATCGCATTTTTTCCGCTCACTCGTTCATTGAAAACACCGACCGCTCGCCCGACCAAACATGATCAGTGGCACGAGTGGTCAAAATTGTGGTTTTAATAGTAAAGTGTGAAGATACAACTAGTATTAACTATTATTAAATTCTGAACGACACTTCAAATCTAATAGTTGTAAGACACATGTATTGTTCGGGAAGCAACTTGCACTGCGACCTCTTGTTCTAAATGTAATATATATTTTATTTTAATGAGACAATTCCGTGAAAAAAGCATAGCTACATATAACTTCTTTTGACATAGAGTGCTCACAAAATATATTTTTGAATAAAACGGGTCACAAGCCCTGAAAAAATCAACAGAGCTTGACATATATGAATAATTTATTGGGCTTCAAAAAAAACATGTCAAATTTAGCTGTAGTCGTAAATATTTGGTGACCAGTCGATGATTGAACAACTTGAATTTGAAAATTACGAGTCACACGAAAGTCCTTCAATATCAAAAATCATCGACCCTGGTGTGGTTTACCTCATTTCCCAACTTGCAAAGAAAACTGATTTTCCGTGGACACTAGTTTATTGCAGCCTAGTTTTTCTTTTGGAACTGAGGTCAAATCCTACCTCTTTTGAAAATATACCAAATGTTTTTCAGTGAATAATTTTGAAGCCTGTCACAGCACAAAAAACTATGTGAATCAACACCAGAGATTGGTACAACGACCCTTCAATTTGCGTCAAATATGCTTTGTTACAACATCATTGATTGGCTGAAAGGCCCCATAATTAGAGCACACCCTGAGTCACAGGTCCATATTTGTTTGTATTATCAAAAGGACTTTGCTAAAGAACCACACCCACATTTTTAACCATTTTTAGCTCGGAAGTTGCCAACAAATGTTGAAAAATTACGGGACATGATTCCCATGAATTACGATCAATGTTTGTCCTGTCTTGGCTGATTGTGTTGAATGACGCCCATGGAGAAACAAATAGGAATCGATATTCCAAATTATTGGGACACGGACGATATACATTCCATACAATCGAAATTATTAATGATAGACAAGATTTTTCTAAATATTTACAAACATCCTGTCATACCAAACAAATGCACAAGGAGGTGTAATATTAGGTTTCATTTTAGGCTTAGCATGGAACTGCTATTTATAGCTTCATGATCCTTCAGCTTGTCTTCTACTTAGGGGGAACAACAATAATACAACAATATACAAATTATAAACACATTGCAAAGACTCAACAATCAGGAAATATAAATGCAAGTGATTCCGGTTTTTCACGGTTGACAATAAAGTGGAAATTGTCCGTTCGAATTCAACAAGCTGTCTCAAAAGCGAGCGAAAAAAAGGGACTGAAAAGCGGAAGCGAACAGGAGGTTGGGATGATTATGCGTGTAAGCGTCCTATAATAATAAAAACAAACATGGCTGCCACCAGAGTTTGATCGGACTCCACACAAAGAAGTTCGCTGATTCTGTTCTAAACTTTTTGGATTTCGGCATTCCCATGATGTATAAGATGTATAATAATAATAAGGTTATTACGAAGATACCTCAAAGTATGCACTCAGACAGTACGTTGTTGCATCGCCCTCCCTGTGTGTCGGTTGATACTTCAGCTGTACTGTCTTCGTACATACTTTGTGGTATCCTCAAAATAACCTCATATTATTATATTACATATCTCGTACATGTTTAGAGCAATTTACTAAAAACTTTATACCCAGATTGTGGCACACACTCACATTCAATGTTTGTTAAAGATACATAGCTGACCTGATATCCTTCATTGTCACATGAATAACACCTCATATATTTTTGAGATTTATTTGAAATTGATTAATAATGGTAAAACAATCACCTGATATTTTCTTTATTTCAGGTTGTCAATATGCTGAATGATCTGTACACCATGTTTGATGCTATCATTGACAATTATGACGTCTATAAAGTTGAAACCATTGGTGATGCTTATATGCTTGTGTCGGGTTTACCTCTCAGAAATGGAATCAACCATGCTGGTCAGATTGCTTCATCTGCTATGCATCTATTAGATGCACTGTCTACTTTTAAAGTTCGACATCTTCCGGAAAAAGTCCTACAACTCAGAGTTGGAATCCATACAGGTTTGTTTTATTTATTATGTAAAGATAATAATAAATCTCACAAAAATCTTTAGCAATTAAGTTTAAATTAGGAAATAATATTAAATTTTAGGGCCCTGCCTAGCCGGTGTTGTTGGTCTTACTATGCCTCGCTACTGTTTATTTGGAGACACTGTGAGTGTTGCTGCTCGTATGGAATCAAGTGGTTTAGGTGAGTATTTGTCAACATGCTCGAACCTGTCTTTTTCTTTATTGATGTTTGGAAATTAACATTACTGAGGTTAAGAAGTTGTGAAATCACAGTTCTAGCTTGTACTAAATTCTAAGGTCAAGACAATGTGGAACAGAATAAAATTTCTTGCATGTGATAATTGACTTGTAGGAACACTTGACATGTTCAGTGCCAGGAGTACCCATATATATAAATTCTCCTACAGATTTGATAATATTTTTATCTGTGCTTTGCACTAAATATGTTTTTGGAGATTGGTTTGTATTTCAGCGGGAAAACCCTTTGAATGCCATACAACCTTTCCCATCAAAATTTATTTTGAACCAAATGGGTATGATTCCTCTTTTCACTAGTAGATGAAATAGGTAATACAAATACATTCTAATGCACCTGTACCTGATAAATTATAAAAAAAATCAGCCTATACTTACAGGGATAATAATGTTCTTTTGTCTTGTACACTTACACAGCTTTGAAAATTCATGTTGGACCAGAATGTCATGATTTGCTGGAACAGATTGGTGGCTACACCATGGAGGAAAGAGGACCAATGGAGATGCAGGTGAACAAAACATGGCTCTGAGTTGTATTTCAATTTAAGAATAGACATGACTAACTCTGCTCGAAATTGACACAAGTGACACGAGACAATTGTTCAAATGTTTTTTTTCAGTGCCTTTTTTGGAACAAAAATGGCTGCTTGTCAGTCAAATGTGAACAAATTAAACAAAAAACAATTCACAATTGCAAATGTATTATTATGCATATTATGACTTTGAACCAACTTTGAACAAAATCTGTCCAGGAATGTCCAAGAAATGATGTCAGATAGATGGATGGTGGCCCATAGACCCAAAACATTTAATGGAGACAAAAATTACAGCAGTCTACGTCATGTATGAAATTTAGAAAGCTGCAAGCTTATTGAGTCACCAACAGGCACTATTTTCTTTTCTCCTTATAGGGTAAAGGGAATATTACAACTTTCTGGTTACTGGATCAAGATCCAAGCTATAAAAAAGGATAGAATCAATGCACTTTTTTTTATTATGAATGAAAAATGAACAAATAAAACAATACACCAATCTGGATGATTATGTTTTTGACTCCCGTGTGCGAAGCACACAATGGGAGTCTTTGCAGTTACCCTGTCTGTATGTGTGTGTGTGTATGTGTGTGTGTATGTCCGTCTGTTCCACTGATATCTCAAGAACCATACATTGGTTTTTGATGAAACTTGGTGCAAATCCATGCATATTAATTACCTAATGTGCATGATAATTAGCTCATTTTAGCTGTTCCATGACTGTTCCACTGATATCTAAAGACCCACTTATTGAATTTTGATGAAACTTAATACATAGATGCTCTGAACTTATGCACAGATTTGATTAGTTTTTAGTAAAAATCCGTGCATATTAATTACCTAATTTGCATAATGATAGTGAATTTTTGGGCTTTTCCACTGATATCTCAACTACTAATCATCACATTTCAATGAAACTTGGTACCTAGATGTCATAGGACACTGCACAGACCTAGTAGTTTTTAGGGTAATATCACTCAGTACATATTAATTACCTAATTTGCATAATAAATTAAATTTTAGATTTTGATATTTCAAGTAGTAAGCATTACATTTCAATAAAACATGGTACATATATACTCAAGGACTATGCAGATCAATTGTTTTGGAATAAATATTTGTGCATATTGATCACCTAATTTGCATAATTAGTTAATTTTCAGATTTTCACGTATATCTTAAGTACTAATCATCACATTTCAATGAAACTTGGTAAATAGATCCTCTAGGACTATGCAAAAATCTGAGTTTTGGGGTAAATAATTGTGCCTATTAATTAACTTATTTGCATAATTGTTTAATTTTCAGCTTTTTCACTGATATCTTGAGTACTAATCACCTTTAAATGAATCTAAACTATGCAGAGAGCCAATTAGTTGTTGGTATATATTTATGCATATTATCACCTAATTTGCATAATTAATACATTTTCAACTTTCACACTGATATCTCGAGTACTAATCATCACATTTCAATGAAACTTTGTACATAGATGCTCTAGGACAATGTACAAATATGATCAGTTTTGGGTTAAAACTGTTAATATGAATTCCCTAGTTAGCATAATAATTCATAATTGTTTGGTTCTGATCACATTTCAATGAAACTTGGTACATAGATGGTCTGTTACATTGCACAGACCTTATTAGTTTTACACTCTGTTCATTTTATTTTTCTGATTTGCATAATTAGTTTTCTGCTTTTCCATCAATATCTCAAGTACAAGTAATTTTGAATTAATTTTTACTGTGTCTCTAATATACTCAGCACACAGGAGTTCTTTCTAAGCGTTCCTTGATTTCAAGCATAAATGAGTGGCTATTAGAATAACTTGAACCCCAAACAAAATATTGACCCAATATTTTGAGAAAATTTTTAGGATTAAAGAACTTGAAACTTGTTGATTGACTAACATTAAGATGTGTGTGAGAAAAACAGCCAATGAGATGCTGCTCTTCTGTCACAATGACATAGATGGATGTGTGTGGTTGTGTAGTTGTTTGCCACTTAAAGGAAAGTATTTGCTATACCGGTCACTGGTAGCATAGTGGTTGTCGCTCCAGACTCATGATCGGTAGACCCAAGTTCAAATCCTACCTTAGGCTGAACATCAAAAGGTTAACCCCAACCATGGGTGAGTGTGCCACAGACTCAATGGGAAGGCCAATTCCACTGGCCGAGATTCATTCACTAACGAATGCGACTTTGGGGGAACCTTTGTTAAGGTCCGCAGGTGCTTGTGTTCGACCGAGCCTGGTTGACGCCAGGATAGCGCATTAAAATTGCCATTTGACAGAGAGATGGCCACACAGCCCTGTCATGTAGTCCCAAACATGAATATGACTTCTGTGGCAAAATGCACTATGTGTCAGCACTAGCACTTGCAATTTGCACATACAAAAAAAAAAGTCAGGAGAGACAACGAAAATAAAAGTATTTGCTATCTTTTATAATAATAATAAATATAGCTGCATAGCAATAATGACTAGATTTCAAGCCCTCGTGTACAATGACACTTAACACATGTGCTGTATACACCGACAGCACTGGTTTCATGTCCCTATCTACAACAGTGCATGAGATATTACAATAATGCATATTAATGAAGTGACATGACCATATATGGTCATTTGATATATTTGTCATATCTGCTGTCCAATGCCGTCATTATAGTGCTGATTGTAAGTTGTTGTTTTTTATCTACAAGAGTGTTTGAGATGACAGTTATTGCATATTAATGAAGTCACATGACCATGTATGGTCATGTGGTATTTCAGTCAGATCACACGTTTCATTAAAAGGCGCGTTTTCAGATTTAGTATTGTCGCTTATTATCAACAGAGATTTGTTTCCATATACCACTGTGTAATGTAATATTTTGTGTGTTGTATGTTTAAATTATTGTAATGAAATAAAAACATTATTTAAATACAAAAAAAAATCTCTGCAAATACACACACCCGCAACATGTTACAGAAATTACCCACTGAAGTTATCCTCATCTACAATAGTATAATTGCAGACCAACTCGACAAGGGTTAAGTCATTAATGACAAACAAACAAACGGACATTATTTGCCACACCGTTAAATTAAATGGGACAGTTCCACTACACTCATACGTATAGTTTACGATTACAGTGCGTCACCAAGAAATGGACAACCCAGGTTAAACGAGTGTTTAGAGACCGGACCGGCCCTGACATCAATACTAATCAGATTTTGATCGAATCGATTGATTGCACTGACTGCAGATATAGATAAAGTTTTTCTGCAGATCTGGCTCCGTAAAAATGACCGCAAATTTACAAAATTTATGTGGCCGACTGACATTAATGATATTAACAGCTCATTCAAAACATCCATCTATGACCCCCTAGGATTATATTCTCCGGTACTTATTCAAGCTAAACTATTGATACAAACTATGGCTGTCCAACCATAACTGGGATAAGCTAATCACTAGTGAACTATTAATTGTATGGAATAAGATTGCTGAAGACCTACACTAAGTCATCAACATTAATATCTCCAGACGTTATTTCTCGAACAACGTAATCAAGGTAGAAATACATGCCTTCTCAGATGCCGCGAAAAAGGCTGACGATGGTGTGATTTATCTCGTATAAGACGATCATCAAACTGTGCTTGTTAACGCAAAATCCATGATTCAGTGAAAATAAAATCCAGCGAATATACTTTTTTCCCTATATTTCACATTCAACTCGTCAAAAATCAGTGAAAATAAATTTCATACAAAACACCCAAAATGCCTTTTCAGCGAAAATAAAGTATTCCACAGTAACCGTCAAACATTAACAGTACCTCATACTGTCATCGCCACACGACTTGGCCAATTTGTAACAAATTCACTGTTGAATAAATACACGATCACTAACCAGGTACTCTTGCCAGACTCGCAAATTACCTTACAATGAGTGCATGGATGGGGAAATCAAGATGTATTTACAAAGAACCGAGTCAAGGAAATTAATTTGTTCAAACAAGAATACAAATATATTCGTATACGCAAAACCCTGCAGACTTACCTACTCGGGGTATATCTCCTAAACAATTGGACAAATCACAACTATGGTGGAACGGACCTAAAATGAATAACAAACGGTGATACTTGGCCAAAATGCAAAAAGCTGAAAGGCTGTGATGACGGAGATCGTCTGCGATTGCGGCTACACGTATCAAGTACTGATAACATAAAAACTCAAAGAAAATGTATATTTTTAATGTCTTCATGCAATATATATCTTGAGTTATCCACTTTATTCTGGCTGGCGAATTTAAACATGTTTTTGAACGCCGCAAATTAAAAGGATACATTTAAAAATTAGCATTTGAAAATAAAATGGGTGCACGAATTAATAGAGACCGTGAATTAATCGATTTATTACAGTATTTGATATGGAAACTTTGAAGCTCACTGCAAATCATGTTCGAACGCAAGTGATATCTCTACCTCTCGAACCAATGTACGGATCGCATGACCAATCATCAACTCAAATAAAAACACTAGTTCTCACCCGAATGAGACTTCAGAATCTCCACCTAACATCAACAACATCTACTACGTGTTTACTTTCCTTGTACTGAGATTCGTCAAAAACACTAAACACGTCAGAACCGCAACAAACCACCACCATCTCTGAATAAAACGAGGACTTATGTTTTGACCTCCGTGTGTCCGTCCGTGCATTCGTGCGTCCAGACCTGTATCTTAGAAATGCCTGGACCAATCACAATCAAACTTCACACATACATCATACATGATATTATACATATGCACGTCAAATTGTTTCACGATCTGATTCAAGATGGCCGAATGGCCGCCATTTTTGTGCTAGTGCCATATCTCTGACTTGCTGTCACTGATTATGTTCAAATTTTAAATATTCATTATACATCATGTCATAGATAGACAGATATATTGGTTTGACGATCCTATTCAAAATGGCCAAATGGTGGTCATTTTGTGCTAAAAAAATCATCAAATATCAAGCTTTTCTGGCATTTATGGATGGATTTCGTTCAAACTTGGTACATACATTAGACATTACAGGTTCCTAATGCACATCATTTATTTTTCAGATCGGATTCAAAATGGCTGTCTGGCGGCCATTTTGTTTTAATGAATGGGCTTCTAGACCCATATCTCCGACTTGTTTTCACTGATTATGTTCAAATTTTAAATATTCATTACCGGGGTATACATCCTGTCAGAGATAAACAGATACATGTATATTGGTTTGACGATCCTATTCAAAATGGCCGAATGGTGGTCATTTTTGTGCTAAAAAATCATCAAATATCAAGCATTTCTGGATGGATTTCGTTCAAACTTGGTACATACATTAGACATTACAGGTTCCTGAAGCACGTCATTTTATTTTTCAGATTGGTTTCAAAATGGCTGTCTGGCGGCCATTT